AGGGCTCTTGGGTCCCTAGGTGCTGACATCATCGGTGTAGTTGTGCACTAATTGAGGTTTAATGCTAGAGTAGAGCGAGCAGGGCTGTAATTTTCCCGCCCCGGCCTGGAATAGAGACGACAGCTTTTCATGTGGTCCGGGCTAATTTAGGTTGCAGTGCTGCAGCTGTGGGACACCTCACACTTTTGTCCTTCTTAGTCTGCTTAGAAATAACAAAATATATGGAAAAAACAGCTTGTTAAGAAAGTAATTTAAAGGGACTTTTGCCATGCCCAAAGCCATATGGTTGCTAGACATTAGAAAGATTCTGTACATCAAAACACTGACCTGGCAGTTGGACTTAAAAATGTTTTGGTAATATTTTTTCCAGTAGGCCTAAGCTTTCAGGAATGAAATCCATCGCCGCCACCTCTGCCTTGAAACTTCACTCATGTGAATGTAAAGCAACACAATGTGGTTTATATAGGCTTACGTAGGTGGAGGAGGAGCATGAGGTAGAAGCAGCTGTAATATGCAGATGGAATTCTATGTGTCATTATGATTGTATGTCCACAGAGCCTGGGCGTAATGACATTCATCCTCCCATCTAGGCAAACAAACAAGCTCGCATGCACACCGACGCAAGCCCAGAGCTCTACCTGCTCTTTATATCCCATCCGCCTTATCAGGGCCTGTGTAAACATCAGGCCTGTTTGAAGTGGAAAGCTTTAATCACAAGTGTAATCATTGACATTGCTTTGTGGTTACTGGACTCGAAGAGGCGGGGGGGATACCATCACGTCATAAACATATACCTGATACTTTTATAACCGCTTTATGTGACTGCTAATACTGAAACCGACATATGAAGACATTTTGAATTCCCCATCCCTCGTCTTAAATATTGCAGGGGAAGGCAAAAGTGAGTAATATCTATGTGAGTGAAACTTTTTAGGGTTGAGAATGTTAAACTGTCAAAAAAAAAGCGTTCATACATCAATTAAACTTCACTCCGTGGGAGGACTCATCAAACACTCCAGTAGTAGATAACATTTAAACTTGACTGCCTTAAGTTTGCGATTATCTAGAATTCTAGATGATAACATCATTCGTGCCATGATTACTTAAAGGGGACCTATCATGCAAAATGCACTTTTGTACGTCTTTTATACATGAATATGTGTCCCCGGTGTTCCAGGGAACTCACCAAGTGTCAGAAAACACAACCCTCTCTATTTTCCTCCATACCCAAATCTCTAAAAAAGGGGCTGCAACGGATCTGATAAAAACTGATCCAGATTTGAACACTGTCCTGACGTCAGGACAGTGGCGCTACGGCTATTGGGCCAACTCCACCAATCAGGAGGAGACAGCCACGGCCATTGCCGTTCGAAAGCGCTGGAGACGCTGTAGTACATATGCCAGGCCTGTAGATGGTGCTGTTCTCACAGAATCAGCCCTTGCAAAAACAGAGCTAACATTTTTCAAATTGAGCGAAATGAGGCATGGCTAAAATGCATGATCTGTTTGGTATTTTGAAAAAAAAAAAGTATAAATATGCCTTATATAGGTATGGTCCTACACTATATTATTCAAATATAGCATGATAGGTCCACTTTAAGAGATATTATAGGTATTGCAGAAGGCTTTTCAAATTCTTAAAAAATTACCCTGTGATTTATCTGCAAACAGTAAATATAAACATGCAAGTTAGTTAGTTAATGAGATGTTTTTTGACATAGAGATGTCCCAGCATATGCAAAATCAAATTGCATCATGAGGATTACCTAGTACATGGTTGTAAAGGTATTTGTGTTTCATCATTTAAACCACTGAATTGTCCAACGTGCGAACCCTTGGAGCTAATCCCACTGAGAAATGTGATGAAACAGCGCACAGTGGCACATGCACAAACTCAAACAGAAGCTTTTTGACAGCAGGATGCTGTGATCCGCCCTCATACGGAGGAGTTTGCGAGGGGAAAATGAAAATAAGCAGTAGATGTCATTGTACATTTTGTATCAGTGCTTCGTAATGTACAGTGGCCTCGGGTGTGATTTGGAAATGAAGGAGCGTTTTGCGATTAACTCTCAGCACATGTGCACACACACGCACATACCAACACACCAACACACCAACACACACACACACTGATCCCATTGTACCAGTCGAGTCTAGCTAGCCTCTGCTTGGGCCAAAGCCTGTTAACTCCAATTCAGAGCGTGGAGGCTGGTAATGAGCACTGTCAGAGTTGACATAACAACCTCCCGCTCTGGGGTGAAACACTGGAGTCAGACTTGGAGAGAGAAAGAAAGAGAGAAAGCTAGCAGGTTCTGTTTGTGATAGGTTGATCCTGGGAAATCTACAAAATAACCGTTTGAGTTCCCACTCATATTCAGCTTTGTTTTGGTACTTGTTTGGTATTGGAACGTTTCGGTTGGCGGTCAGAGCCATGGACTTTTAAGTATAAATGCCCTTTCCTTACAATATACCTTCACTGTAATGAGTTAACAAAGGAGAAGTTGGAGGTAAATCATGTTAAAGATCCCCTATTAAAAAAACCAATGGTGCTTTAGGAGGAGATTCAGGTGATAAGGTGGGCGGGGGTTACCTTGGTTGGTTATCGGCTAATGGTTACACAACCCCAAAAAACATTATGACATCACAACGTGGCCAAAATCTGATCAGCTCATTTTCAGACAGGTTTTTATATAAATGGATCAGGACAAAAGGTGAGAGAGAATATTTTTTATGAAGCTTTCAGAGTCTCTTTACACAGAGGGGACACATGTTTATGTATAAAAGACATGAAAAAGTGGATTTTGCATAATAGGTGACCTTTAACTCTTTTAACTTATAGTGGATAGTTTTCCTTTAATTCCCCGGCAGTATCTCAGTCTGTAGGGACTTGACTTCTAGTCCCACAATAATCTAAATACGGCGTGTAGACTGATACCTGGATTGCGACCAATTCCCTTTTGCCACCTGCCGAGGTGCCCTTGATCAAGACACCAGAACCCCCCATTGCTACCCAGTCAATGTATGTACAATAGTTGCCCTAATAAACACTGCTCCCTATACCAAGATGTGTGTTTGGTGCAATGTGTGTCAATCAAAAGTCAATTTAATTCCTCCATTTCCATTCTGGACTTTGAAGCTTAATACTTAAGCACCATCATAGTTTTCAATTAGGAATTAGGGTATTATAATGCAGTTTGGTTTCTCACTTTGCTTGGTTGAAAGTAACGCATTGCTCAGCTTGCCCTTAATGTGATCTTTAATATTTAAATGGAAGTTGTGTGCATAACTTCAGAATAATTTAAATGATTGTACACCCTAATTCACCTTGAATAAATGTTTTCTTCGCCGTTCCATGAATAATAGAGATAGGAAAATAATACAGTTACATCCCAGGAGCATGGAATACGTTATTATACAAACTTTAAGTGCTCTGTGTTTTTGTCCTCAAGGTTAATATCCAGAACAGTTGTTTTCCTCATGATAAGCATTTTTCTATGTGTCCCCATCCCTGCTCATTAGAATCCGCTTGTTTAGGGTGGATGACTTGCTGTGTTGTCTGATTTGAGTTCAGGCAGCACAAAGAAAAGCTCCTGCTTTCCAGCATGGCGTGTCCCGGCCTCCCATTTCTCAATAATTCATCCAGACAACTAGAATGATTATTCTATGAATATGCACTAAAAATCCCTTTCTTGTGCTCCTTCTCTCCAAGTTTGTGCATGTCAGTGTGTGCTCAAGTGTGTGTACATGTGGGCAAATGAGTAGCTGTGTGTATGCAGCTCCTTTCTGCCTGAAACAAAGGAGGTGTCAGGGCGAATTAGGCCCCCTACCACTGAACGCCCAGAGAGCTTAGAGATGCACCACAGGTTCTGCTGAGTCGCACATGAGCCACGGTGTCTGCCTCTTCCCCTCTGCTTCCCCCCGCTTTGCCCCCCGCACTCGCCCCCTCTCCACTCCTGAGTTGCTCTAACAAGGTTGTTGGAAGAGGATAAGGCGTGTTAAATGAATAATTTACACAGAAGAGCGCTCCTTATTTATTTAATACGGCTGGATCTGACTGAGTGGGCAGCCCGGGTCCCAAACTGCCAAGACACTGGCTAAATGAACGCTTCGCTCGGCTTAATGGAGGGCCAAAGCGACAGGCATTTAGAGAGAGCTAGGGGGAGCATGATAGACTTTGTAAGTTGTGTGTGTATGTGCTTGTTAAACAGGCCATGCAGAGCTGCGCTAGTGTGCAAATCTTGTCCCTGCTGTATGTACTCTGTCGTCGCACCATGTTACTCTTTATACCTTGATGCAGACAGATCACATGAGACCCTTCACCCATTTCAAAATGATTCCAGGAATGTATGGAATACTGCTCTGACGTATGCCTGGAAGAAATAATTACAAAGCATGTTTTTTGTGCTAGTTTAGTGACCCCCATATTGGTCAAAATTGACTAGACGCTAAATCATATAAACTGATAAATTATTAAATAATATAATATCATTAACTTTATCATACTAAGTTTAATATATACAAAAACCAATAAATTATTCAATTATTGTATAAATTATTCAAACATTTATTAACCTATCAATTTTGAAATCATTTTAAGAAATATGTTTTTATTTAATAATTGTATATTTCACCGAGACATGTCTCAATGTGCCCGCCCCTATAGCTTTCAGCAAATCATTTTGGCCCTAAATAATTGATATCAGTCTAGATTAATGTGTATACAACCAGAGAAAAATATGTGTGTACTGTGTTTTGTTTGTTTAAAGCAGCAGCTTCTAATTGTTGGATTCAGATATACTTATGCATTGTTGTTGCTAAATCTAAAAACTAAAATGACGGGGGCGGGCCCTAGTTACAACACCACTAATGAAAAGTGACATTATGATTTGTCTTACTCGGAAAGAATAAGGTTTTTTTTAAATATGTTTTGAAATGAACATAAGAGTTGCCCTTTTCATCTATGTTCTACTACTTATTTTAAATGATAATTGTTTTTACAGGGGGAGTGTGGAGAGGGGGGGACAGGACCATTACCCGGGCACCACCCAGAAAGAGAAGGAGCGAGGGAGCAGCTGAGGAAGGAGGATCATCCAATCGGTAAACACTTCTTGTTTTGATATCGGGATACAATGGGGTGCTCATAGTAGCACTGTTTTCTGTCATGATGTTTGCACTATTTACAGGATGCAAGACAAAGAGGGAGAAAATAAAACAGCTCAGACAAAATCAGGCTATGATCAAAATCCTTTAAATCCTCTCTCTGACATCTGGATTTGTCTGTTCTCGCCTAGTGTCCTCATCCTTCTCATATTCCTCTTCTTATTCCTCCTGTAGACGGAGGCAGTCCCACTCAGCAGGACACAGTTCCCTTGTGTGCGTGTGTGTGTGTGTGCGTGTATGTGTGTGTGTCTTTCCCAAGAGAATGAAATCCCACAGCTCACACTGACCTCATTATAAAAATAGCTCATCTATCCAGCCATCACATTTCCCTCCATTTCCCCTCTCCTTCGCAATCTCTTAGATATATATCGTGATCCTCTCTACCTTCCACTCTCTGTCTCTCCATCAGTGTTTGCGCTGGATTTAATGTGAGATTAAAAGCTTTACGCAAGACTTTGTAACGGCAAGGTTTCCCCCTGCACCTGTCATTACCAATCTGGCCATAATCTGGGATCAGAAGATGTCTTTTAATCATGAAACATCTCAGAGTAACATTTAAAGGACGGTGTTTACACAATCTGTTAATGTTGTCTCTTGCTAAGGTATACATTTTCCTCTCTTGTTCCGGGTCCACTGCCCCTCTTCACCTTCTCTCCCAGCGGTGCGAGATCACCTCCCATTAGACTGAACAGCGCTCAGCTCTGGTTAATTTAACAGCAGCATCAGTGATCATTACGGTCCAAAGCTGGCTTTGATCCTGCCAGGCTGCATTTCCTACGGTTTTAATAACCCCACAAAGACACCTTAGCAGATGCTCAATTCTAGGCATCTAGACAAAGACGGAGACAGGCCGAAATGAAGGATTCACCAAATGAGAATTTCTTTGAAAGATTGAAAACAAACTCGATTCTGAGGACTTGGTTAAGGTAGAAAAAGGTGATAGAGCTAGCATGCTGTTTCTCAGTAAAGCCCTGTTTTACATTCACAGCTAAACACACAGTCACCCCTGGGAGCTGTTTATACAAGCGAAGCACTGTTGGCCACTGAGCCACTCCGCTGGAGCAGCTCGGGGTACTGAAGATCTGCCGAAATAATAATTAGAATGCAGATGATTATAAATAACAGTAATTGTTTCACAGTTCCATGAGTTTAAAGTGTGCAACTATAGTGATTACAAAGGAGGGGAGTGTGTAGAATGAAACATTGGCTTGTAAGTCAGGGGGACATGGAACCAAGATTGTTCACATCATTCTTAGGACAGTGTTACTACATAACCTGTCTATGAGTATTATGGCTTTAATTGAATTTGATAATTGAATTGTCTTTCAATTTATTTTTTTCAAGAGGAAGTCATATTTTGAGATGTTGTGATACAAATGTACTTTGTCTACATTTCGAATAATTACAAGCACTTTCAAACTGAAATTTCTTTGAAAATCTGCTTTCATTATAAATATAATTTCAAGATAGCATCAAACGTATAAAATTATGTTTATTAAAACAATTCTTACAGTTACCTTGAAACTATTCATTAGCACTTCAACTATAAATTCAATGAGAAAATATGTATTACTTTTTATTTGTTCTGTATTTAATTCACAGATAAGACTGTGGCTTTATGATGTGGTTGTTTCATATACAGTTTTTGGAATTTCAAGAAAACATGCTATATTTTGTCTCGGTATACATTACATGTTACTTGTTAGACGCTTTTATCCAAAGCGACTTACATAATCAATCCTGTGGACAATCCCCACAGGAGCAATTTGGGGTGAAGATCGACATGCTGACTGCAGTGGGGTTTGAACCTGTGCTCCCCTGATCCGAACACCAACGCACTAGTCCACTGCCACACAGTATACAGTTATATATGAAAATAACTACATTAAGATAGAAGATTGTGTGTATTTTGCCCAGACTTGGTGAGTATCATTAGCTGCTGCACACTCATATGTACAACCACTACAAGTTATTGGGGTCTATTAAATGGACCTGGATTGTATTTGATCTGTCATCAAGTCTTTTGGAGCAAGTCTAGGTCAAGTCTTTGAGGGCAGCTTCAAGTTTCAAGTCAGCAAAGGATATTCCAAGTCTCATGTCTGCACTTCTGTTATGTCACATAAGGTGTAGCTCATGATTTACTTCAAGATAAAAGCATTGAGGTGCAACTGATCTCAATAGAAGTTCTATTTTTGCTTTGACAGTGTAGAGTTACAACAAGCTACCCCCAAGTGTCAGCAGTTGTTTGTGTTCACCTCTCCTTTGTAACATTACCTTCTCACCTGCATATCCAGCAGCTTATTCCCCCCGGAAAGGCCAGCTTATGTTAAATAAGAACAAGCTGCCTCACATTGACCTGCTTTTAGAAGCCCAGGCTCACCTCAACAGGAGAAGAAACCGTTGGGATCATCTGCATATTCTTTTGATCTCTTACCAGGAGCAGCCGTCATTAAGGAAGTTCGCACGACTTTCCCTCTTCCCCTCATCGTGGCTGAAGCTCCATCACGTGCCCCTTTATCGCTTCTAGTGCCCTTCACTCCATCGCAACCCCTTCAAAGTTCTCTACCCTTCGCTTCAAAGCCGCCCTAACTTGGGTTGAAAGCCAAAACCACTCTTGTCTGTCCTTCACCGCTAAGCTGATGTGTTTGTGTCTGTGTTGTGTTGCCCTTGGGGTGGGTTACCTCCACCCCCACCCCCTGCATCTCATCTCTTCTCCTCCCCACCTTGCTGTTTATCTGTCTCTGGGCTCGTCACGTCCCTGAACCTGCTCTAATTAGCATCCCACACAACACTGTTTATTTACTCAGGTACCGGCAGAAGGGAAGGGAGGTGAGAATGAAAGAGCGAGTCGGGAAAAGGAGAGAAAGAGACGGAGAAAGCCAGTGAAGAGCAAGAGAGGGAGGAAGGCCTGCGAACAGGAAGAGAGGGAGAGATGATTCAGAGAATCAAAGAGCTATGAGACTCTCTCGTAACGGATGCAGGGGGTAATGATAGTTAGAAAGACACGAGGCAGAAAGTCGAGAAAGTGAGAGACAGAGAACTTTCCCGCCTCTCCACGCCTCCTCTCTGCCTTTTCCAGCGTTTCATCTGAGATGCAGAGTGCCTAAAATTAGCAAGCTGGCAGCTTCCTTCCTTCCAGGGCCCCCATTAAAGTTCTCCCATTGCGTTGAGTGATCATTAAGGTGGGACCGGGAACGCAGGTGTTATCTTAGTGTCCCAGTCGAGGTTGCGGTGGCATCACTTTTCCTCGACAGGGTGTACATGAACAAAAAATATTTGCAGTCCTTATCTTGGGAGTTTTGAAGGTTTACTTGTGAGTATATGTTTATCACACTGCATGTCTCTCAGTAGGGATGGAAGAGCAGATTAATAAATCAGGGAAGTAGCAAGAAAGAAAGAAGGGTGTTGGATAGAAATGGACAGGTCAGGTTGTTTGCTTCTGCACTGGATGTAACATCTTTGATTTCTTTAGATGTTATCTGATTAAATAAGGGCAAGATATATCAAATAAGTGTTGTGTGCAGTGTTTACCTGTTGTGTTGACGCTTCGTAATTAAAGCCCCATGTCCTACTTTATGTGTTTTATGTCCAATTTCAAGCATTTTTGATGACCATTCCAGTTTTAAGGTTTTATTATGCTTTAAGAGAATGTTCAAACTGTTTTTTTTTTTGTGTAATCACATCTAAAGGCAGAGGTCTTTACTTCCTGCTTTCATGAAAAGCTGTATATCAGTATAACTGGGCTGCCTTTTTGACAGTCTTTCCTCAAAGGCATCCATTGTGTTGCATCTGTTCGCACAAATAGTGATGGATGTAGTTTTGTGAAGAATTCAACTGCTTTCATACATCCGTGACTCTGTTCAATTTTTAGATCTCTTTTGAAAAGTCACACAACTTGTCAGATGACTTTCTTACTTTCTAGATAGAGAGGGAGGATAGGCTCTGTTACATGATTGCATATCTCCCCAATTATGAATTTGTCAATAACCAAAGACCTATTGAGTGCCTCTTGCAAGTTTGTCCGTTTTGATGATTTGTTGCAAAACTCATACTCACCTGGTGGTCAAACTGAATTTCTATTTGGTATTCTCTTATCCAGCTGGAATGGGAACATGGCTTCGATGTTTAGGGTCATGCTTTTAGAAGGGTGACCAGTAAGTCAACACTGTAAATCTGCTGCTTGAACCAGGTTAATTATTTTTCTATAGAAATGCCATTCTACACCATGTCAAGATACTGTATGTGTATCCTATATTTAACGGAAAATCTGTCTACTGGTAACTAACAAACCAGGACAAATAGTTGTTTTTCCTGTTCCACTCTACATCTACAGTACATCAGACTGAGGTCACCATGTTTTTATCTGCTTTGGCATTGGAACACAAGGTTACCTTGTATGTCATGCATCCACCAGTTTCCGCTTTTGCACTTCTGTAGAAATCTTACCAGCATATCGTCATTTCCTGCCTTGTTCCTGTTGGTCACTCAGCAAAATGTACTTGCAGCAACTTCCTGTTATCAGTGACTCTGCCCATTTCTGAAACAAAATATTTCACTCTGCCAGTGCTTTTTCACGGATGTTAATTCAGCAGCATTTTAAACTGCTATTTGTCTCTTGCTCTCACACTGAGTGATGGGATAGTAAAAGGTTCTGAAATATCCCTTCTGCACGACGGTTTAATTGTGGGAATTCTCAGCAGTTGATGTTTGTCTTTCCTACATATTCCCAAGCACATCAGTTGTCACCTCCCTCCACTGACAGCCCTCATTCCTCTCCTCTTTCAATTTTCTTCTCCTGCAACTCCCTTGCCTTTTTCCACCACTCTTTAGTCCTGTTTGACCTATTCAGAAGGGTCCAAATGTCACGGCAGAGGGAAAGGTCAGGTAAAAGGTTTTATGTTGAGCATGGCTAACACAGTGCTGGCTGCCTGAGGGGG